CAGGGTTTGGGATTTGGGTTTTGGGGTTTGGGGTTTAGGGTTGTTGTGGGGTTTAAGGAATGGGGTTTAGGGGTTTGGGGTTTTGGGGTGGGGTTTGGGGTTTGGGTTTTGGGGTTTTGGGTTTTTGGGGTTTAGGGTTATTTGGGGTTTAAGGTTCGGGGTTTGGGGTTTAGGGTTTGGGGTTTGGGGTTTTGGGGTTTTGGGGCTTGGGGTTTGGGTGATTTGGGGTTTAGGGTTTTGGGGGTTTGGGGTTTTGGGGTTCTGGGGTTTTGGGGTTTTGTGGTTTGGGGTTTTGGGGTTTTGGGGTTTTGGGGTTTGGGTTATTTGGGGTTTAGGGTTTTGGGGGTTTGGGGTTTTGGGGTTTAGGGTTTGTGGTTGGGAGTTTGGGGTTAAGGTCTTAGGGTTTAGGGTTTGGGTTTGGGGTGTTTTTGGGTTTCGGGGTTTGGAGGTATGCGGGGTTTGGGGTATGGGTTTTGGGGTTTAGGGGTTTGGGGTTTAAACAGGCCCTAAATTCCGGTTTAGGGCTAAGGGTTTGGGGTTCGGGGTTTGGGTTTGGGGTTGAACGAGCCCCAAACCCTTCAAGAAATGTCATCTGAAGCCCTTGACCCTCCAAACAGAAGCGTCAACCCTGAACCCTCAAAGACGCGCTTTGAATTCCTCTAAGCCCGAGAACCCCACAAGCCCAAACCCCAACCCCAAACGCTACAGCCCTAAACACTATATCCCGGCAAGCCCGTTTGAAAGCATCGACCACCCTAAACCCTAAACCCTAAACCCGCACTGCTCGCGGACGGCCGGGACGGGACTTCGAGAAGGAACAGCTCAAAGCTGGGCAAAGCTGGCAGAAAAGCAGGGCAAGCGGCGTAGCTCGAGCTCCAATCCTGTGCCAGAAAAGCCGCGCATTGCCCAGTACGTTGCTGCGTCCGGTACACCAGCGAAGGTTGATCTTCGAGCCGCCGCCAAGATGCGATCCATGATGGTAGAGAGAACCTTCGAACGGATGTCCTCTGACGATTTGCCCTCCTGCCCCATGGAAGATGCGAGGTCCTGGCACTCGCCCAACAAGCCCTGAAGCCATATGCCCCTCTAACCCCACAACTCTGACCCGAAACCCTCAACCCTTAACCCTATAACCACATAACCTTAGAATCCAACAACGCTCATATAGGTGCCTTAATGATCAGAATTAGGTGGTGGGGATCATTCTAGTATAAATATAAAGGGACCCTAAGGGAAGACTATGAGCCATTTTTCCCAGCCATTATAGTATAAATATAGAGGGACCCTAAGGGAATACGGGGACCCTAAGGGAATAAAGGGGCCCTAAGGGAATACCCTTTGTAATTCTTCCGGCCCCTAGATTCACCCGCACCAGGCCGCAGCGACTTGAGCACGGCGAGCAGCAGCGGCAAGATCTCCGCCTTCGGGAAACGGCTGGCCGTTGCTGTATTTAGGGTTTAGGGTTTGGGGTTCAGGGTTTAGGGTTTAGGGTGGAGGGTTTAGGGTTTCGGGTTTCGGGTTTAGGCTTTAGGTCTAGGGGTTCTACCTTGGACCCTTAAGGTTGTACCCTTGGGTTTTGGGGTCCATTTCTAAGGATCCCTAAACAAATATAAGGGCCATATTAGGAGTATAGTAAGGGAAACCTTTTAGGGGGTACAACCTGGGGGTACGAGCCTTCACCCCTTGTTATAGGGCTTCGGGTTCGCTTAAGAGAGGGCAAGAAGGTTTAGTGTTTAGGGTGACACAGAAAAAAACCAGGTTTGGTTTGCTTCAAGAACCCTAAACATTAAACGAAGCAGAAGCCTAAAAAGGAACAGGAGTTCTCAGAGCCTCACAAGCCCAGGGCACCCCCCTGAAAGAAAAAAGTCCTTAGCGCCCGGAGGTTAGATTTCGGACGTAGGGCCTTCCCTAAACCCTAAAAAACCCTAAACCCGAAACCCTAAACCCCAAACCGTAAACCCCTGGCACCTTGGCTTTCGGGCCGCTCTGAAGTTTCTCCTTCCAGAGGAGAGTGGCCACCCGGCGGACGTCGTGGTGGTCCTCGGTGCTGCAGGGGTTTCGGGTTTAGGATTTTGGAATTAGGGTTTAGGGTTTGGGGTCTAGGGATTCGGGTTTAGGGTTTAGGCAGAGGGGGGGGGGGGGGGGGGGGGGGGGGGGGGGGTTGTGAGGTTTGTAGGGTTTAGGGTTTAGGTTTTGGGGGTTGCAAGGTTGCAGCACTTCGGGCTTGGGGCTTTCGAAGTGAATTTACGGTTGTAGGGCTGTAGGGTTGCAGGCTTTCGGGTTTCGGGGCGCAAGGTTTCGGGCCGCTGAGTTTGGGGCTCTAAGATTTTGGGACTCCCCCCCCTCCTGACAAAAAACACCCAAAGCCCCCAAAACCCTAAACTCTAAACCCTTATAAACCCTAAACCTTATAAACCCTAAACCTTATAAACCCTAAACCCTAAACTCCGCAACGCCCATCTTCAGCCCAGCGGCGTCGGTTCGTGCGATGAAGATGGAGCTCAGCAGGGAATGCCGGTGGAATTGCGAGAGGCAGTCCATGCTCAGGAAGTCCTGCGCAGGCACAGCGCTTCGAGGTTAAGGTGCTTGAGGTTTAGGATGACGGGGTGTAGGGTTAGGCTTTTAGGGTTTAGGATTACGGGGTGTAGGGTTTAAGCGTTTAAGGTTTTGGGGTGTAGATTCTTGGGGTGGCTTTCTTGGCTTGAGGGCGTAATGGCCTAACTGGATTCTAGGCTTTAGGGTTTGCGGCCCTGACCTTAGGGTTTGTTTGGGGTTTAGGGTTTAGGGCTTAGGGTTCAGGGTTTAGGGTTTAGGGTTTCATTACTGATGAGTTTCAGAGGTTCGGGCTGCAGCCTTCAAGGCTGCAAGGGGGGTTCGCGTCTAGGATTTTAGGGTGTAAGAGTTGGGTAACTCCCTAAACCCTCAAGCCTAAACCCCAAACCCTGAACCCTAAACCCTATTTATAAACCCTAAACCCTAAAGTCTGAACCCTAGGTGAAGTTGAAGCAGGTTTAGGGCGGGTGGAGGTTTTGGAACTTCAGGAGCCTTCTGGGGGGTTCAGGGACTTAGGAGATCCAGAGGTTCTTGGAGTTCAGGGTCTAGGGTTTATCGGGCTTAGGGTTTAGGGTTTAGGGTTTAGGGTTCAGGGTTTAGGGTTTAGGAAGTCTGATGCTTGCCGCAGGTCCTGCCCGAACTTCATGCCCTCGCTGATCTTCTCGCAGAAGGAGAAGAACCTCAAAGCCAGGGAGGCGCAGGGCCCCGAAAACCAGAAAGGCCGAAAACCCTAAATTCCAAACCCAAACCCTAAACCCTAAACCCTAAACCCGAAACCCGAAACCCTAAACCCTAAACCCGAAACCCTAAACCCTAAACCCTAAACCCTAAACCCCAAACCCTAAACCCTAAACCCTAACGCGAACACCAAACATTGCGCTGGCCGGGCCTGCCAGCTCTGCATGATCTGATGCCAGTAAAGGAGATCCCAAACCACTACGCGGAGTTCCCAAAAACCCTAAACCCCAAACCCTAAACCTTAAAACCCTAAACCCTAAAACCCTAAAACCCTAAAACCCTAAAGCCCTAAGACCCGAAAACCCTAAAACCCTAAAACCCTAAAACCCTAAAACCCTAAAACCCTAAAACCCTAAAACCCTAAAACCCTAAAACCCTCAAACCCTAAAACCCTAAAACCCTAAAACCCTAGAACCCTAAAACCGAAACTGCCCTAAACCTCTCCCGAAATCCCTGAAGCCCTCAAACCTGGGCTCCGCCACGACTGCTCAAAGGGGCTAAGCCTCCTAGTCGATGTGGTGCAGGGGAGGGTTTAGGGTTTAGGGTTTAGGGTTTAGGGTTTAGGGTTTAGGGTTTAGGGTTTAGGGTTTAGGGTTTAGGGTTTAGGGTTTAGGGTTTGGGGTTTGGGGTTTGGGGTTTGGGGTTTAGGGTTTAGGGTTTAGGGGCTGGGGTTTGGGGTTTCCGGGGCCGTGTTGGCTAGGTCTCTGCCCGGGCGGAGTGCCACAGCGCGAGCGTCGCACGCCTGCGGGGAGCAGCTCGCGACGCGCTGGGCAGCTCAGGCACCGGCGAGGGGCCGTGGAGGCCCCTGGTAGGGTTTGGGGGTAGCGTCAGGCCGTGCTGTATCTGGAGGTAAAACCGGGTTTGGCAAATCCCGAGCGCAATCCTTTCTCGGGATGCCAGGCTTGCCACATACTCATCTTTCTCTGCATCCAATCGGCACATCCCGCAGTGCAGGTTGTTGCTTACCAGCAAGTTCTCCAACATGGCGGCAGCGCAATCGCTAAGGCACAAGATTTTCGGGTGGGCCCTGCTGACGCTGCCCAGAAATGGCCCTAGGTCCTACTACAGTCATCCCACCAAGGGTTAGGAGGAGGCAGGCTCACTAAGGCTTAAGGCAGCTTAAGGCCTAAGGCTTAAGGCTGAAGGCTTAAGGCTTAAGGCTTAAGGCTTAAGGCATGATTAAGGTTGAAAAGCGGCTTAAAGTTCAAAGTTTAAGGAGTGAGGTTGTGGGTTTAGAGTTTAGGATTTAGGGGCTGGGGTTGGGGGTTTAGGGCTTCTAGGCTTTGGGGGATTGTTCACTAAAGGTTTGCGCAATCTTCGGAACTCTACTGCAGCCACACGCCAAGAACCAAAGCCCAAAGTCATCATGCACCTACTGGCTCACTAGGGTTCAGCCCCTGAGCTCCCTAACCCTAAACCCTAAACCCTAAACCCTAAACCCTAAACCCTAAACCCTAAACCCTAAACCCTAAACCCTAAACCCTAAACCCTAAACCCCAAGGCCCGAAACCCGAAAATGCCCCAACCCCTAAAACCTGACAAACCTTTTCGAACATGGCACCCGTACACCCGAAAGCCCTTAAAGAAAAGCCTTCACCCTGGACCCTCATCCCTCTAAAGGCCATACCAAAAGCCGTAGACCCTAAAGCACTGAGCATTTTCATGTAGACATATTGTTCTTCTCTGATTGCCATCTCAGGGTTCAGATCTCATCGGAAGTGGGAGGTTGGCCACTCCAGACTGGGCTTCAGCCCCTGCCATGCCAAAGCCATTGAGCTGAGAGCAAGCACTGCGAAGATAGCCCCCGGGACCGAGATCGGAAGTTGAAGCTGATCCCGCAGCAGCCAAACCAGCGACTCCTCCACAGCTACGAAGCACAGGAAGCAGCCAAGACCGAAGCACAGAAGTAAGAGAGACACCAGCCTGTCCAAACATGGAGGCTTGCGTTCCCGGCGCATGGCATTTGCTGACCTGTAGACGGCCACAAGAACTGTTGGAGTAACTGCCAGCCAGTAGGCAAGGCCTCTGAGTAGCTGGCGTATGCTCCCATCCATGTCGCCACCGTACACGGCAGCACAAGTCAGATCCAGGAACAACCAGAACAGGGCCGCGGGCGCTTCCAGCACACGGCGGTAGGTGACCACCGCAGTCGAGAGCTGGTTGACCAAAATCTCCTTGGCTACACTCAGAAGGGTAGCTAAAAATTAAAATTTTAGCAGCCTTATTAAGAAACCCAATAGACCCAAAAAGGCTAAGGATCTAAAGTTACAGTAAAGTACCACAAAGTCTCCAACACCTCTGTTCGGACAGTCCTCTCGAACTGGTCAACACTCCCGAACCAGTTGTCGATGCACCTCCGTACAAGAAGACGGTCACAAAGCATTTGCTCACCTGATGGCCCGACGTGCCCAACTGTGCAACAGTAGCTCAAAGCATCGTCGAGGCGAAACTGCTGCAGCTGGTGTTGCAAGCTCTCCACTTCTCTGCAGTATTGTCGCATTGCATCTGCGATCTTGAAAAAGATCAGCCCGGTGCTGGCACCGACAAGCAGCCAGAAAGGCACCGATCCAAGTCCCACAGCAATGGTAAGGCTTATGGAGGCGTACCCTGCTCCGCACGCAACGACCAAGGCAAGGCTTGCCGCTGCCGTCACAGGCCCAAGGACTGTGGGCCAAATGATCAAGTGAGGCTCCTGGTTCTGAGGGCGGCTGCGCAAGAAGGCGGCCATCTCGAAAAGGCACCACAAGCCTTTGCTGCTTTTCCGGCTCCGGAAAAAAAAGGGGATATCCAGAAAAATTGATGGGCTTGGGGCCTGCCTCAGGTTGCTTCCTAATTCAAAACCTTTGTGACATCCTTTCTCTAAAGACCTTCATGAGACTTACTTTCTCCGAGGAGCGCTCTTGGTAGGTCGGGTCCCAGAGCACCAGCATGGAGTCTGAAGACTTCAGAATGGCGCCCATGCTGATGAGGCCTTCTGCCTTCAGCAGGTGGTTGGACTGATGGATGCAGATCCTGTCCATGAAGACGAGCTGCCGCCGTCGCCAGAACAAGGAGACCACACCATAGGTCACCAGCGCAATCACGAAGCAAAATGGTACAAAGGAAGGGAAAGAGAGCATCTTCAGGCTGGGAAGGCGCAAGGTCGACAGCGCGAGCGGGCCGACGGCCAGCGCGGTGCTCAGGGCCGAGGCCGCGGTCGCATTCTGAACCACGTAGAGCGTCAGGATCTTCGACCACCTACTGCCGTGCCAGCTGTGCGACCAGAACTGCATCCGATGAGCTGGCTGGCTAAGAGAGTAGTAGTCATGTCGGTTCCCCTTGCTACGAAACGGACTGGCAAGACAGCGCAGTGTTTGGAAGACGCAGGTGGCTCGAACGACTTCGGGTCGTACAGGCTCCATCCGGGACACCAAGTCGGCAATAGACTCGCCAAAGTCATCATCAAACAAGGCGCCCACCTCCAAACCATTCTGCATGTCGCCGGAACTCACCGAATCTGTAAGCTCTGAAGCCGGATCTTCGGAAGAAGCCTGTAGCTCAGATGGTCCGTGGACATCACTTCTGTCTGGTTCCGGCCGCTCCTGTGGCACCTCCTCATCTACGCAGAGCCCATGTGCTCCGTCCATGTCGTGGGAATGTTTGGCACTTCAGGGGTTTAGGGTTTAGGGTTTAGGGTTTAGGGTTTAGGGTTTAGGGTTTAGGGTTTAGGGTTTAGGGTTTAGGGTTTAGGGTTTAGGTTTGTGAACACTTTGGCTGCCACGGCCTCTTCAAGTGGGTCTTGGGCATATTGGGCCTTTGGTGGGGAGGTCATTACCCTCATGGCTGCGTCGTCTGTTCTAGGCTGTTTGGCACGAGACCTGGTTTGAGATGGACTGCCAAGGCAGGATGAACGCACTCCACCTCGAAGCAAGGTGCTGCCGCCAAACTTATGGCATCTGATGCCAGGTTTGGGTTCTAAACCCTAAACCCGAAACCCTAAACCCTAAACCCTACACCCTACACCCTAGACCCCAATAAAGCTTGTGGTCCTTGCCCCTCTTGAGGCTCGAACAAAAGGTTTTAAACTTAAAGGCTGCGAGTGGGGTTTGGGAATTTAGGGTTTAGGGTTTAGGGTTTAGGGCTTAGGGCTTAGGGCTTAGGGCTTAGGGCTTAGGGCTTAGGGTTTAGGGTATGTTTTACAGGAGTTCTGATTCTAGGCTCCTCTGCTCGGATGTGTCTTGAGAGGGCCCCTCACCTGAGGTTCAGGGTTTAAGGTTTAGGGTTTAGGGTTTAGGGATGCTTGTGAGCCTAGTGTTGGGATTTTAGTGGTGTTTGCTTGAGGGGTTTAGGCGTTCAAGGTTTAGGTTTAGTGCTGGTGTGAACCAGCAGGCTGAGCAGCAGAAACCAGTGGCTTCTTAGATTCCCCAGTCTCTACCCCAACCATGGCTCGCACAATGCGGAGGTTTTACACGCAGCAAAAGATCCTGTACTACTTGGTTGGTAAGGCTACAGCACCTACAGTAGAACTATACATACAAAAAAGACATGCTCAAGGCTGACTGTGTTGTGGGCCTACGAGCGTCAGGAGAACAACAAGATATGCTATGGCCAAACATGTACAGGTACTACAGTTCAACACTCCTCCTTCGCTCCTTCGCCAGGAGGAAGCGACAAACAGAAACCTGTACATGTCCATCCCTTCCGGGAGGAGGTACAGACTCCCCCAAAAAGGAAGGACTACAGCTGGCCGGCTGGCCTCAGAGTGGGCTCTCAAGGCACCTCTTGCAGAAGAAAGCAAACTGGCAGGGACTTAGTTTGGCAAGTCCTGCCCGTCAGGGCGGAGTTGTCTTGCTGGGCTCAACGAACTGCACAAAAGCTCAACAAGCAACAAACCTGGCAAACTCATGCAAGACAAAATGCCAAATTCTGCTCGGATTCGGACACAGCGTCCAAGTCCGAGGCTGGCAACAACGATTTGCGACACACGGGGTTGACATCACAAGGTCTAGTCAATCGAGCACGTCTGTGAACAAACCGTGGTCGGTCCAGAAGTTGACGGCTGGACAACGCGGGCATGCTGGAACAGTGTGTCCAATCACTGAAGTCGTACGCACAAGGCGTGCTGTCACCTCGATTGGGGTCTGCATCGCCATCGTCATCGCTGTCTTGCGCGTTCAGCTTGAAACACACTGGCGTGGACTGGCCATCATGTGGGCTGTTGGTCGCACGAATGTTGCCACAACCCTTTCCCGAGCCCAGCCTCAACCTTGAAGCGGCTACAAAAGCACTGGTCGCATGTGGTTTGCCGCTCTTTGATGCGTTACACCTTGGTTGATTTCGCGGGCGCAGGTTGAGCTTGCGGCTCATTGGCTCCACATTTCGGGGCAACCTGGACGTTGCTTCGCTGCTGCTCCCGCGCAGGCCCACCTGTGAGGTTCCGTCAGCATTGGCACGCTCATGCCGCACATCGGCCTCCAACTGGGCAATCAACTCAAGCGCGACGTGTTTACACATGTAGGGGCAGCCGCGGCGAATCACAAGCGGAATGACCTGCCCGTCAGGGTGGTGAAATGCACAATCGGCATCGCTCACCCAACTAAGCCTAAACCCCAAGCGACTGATCACTGCACCCATGGGTATGATTGTTTGGGTTCCTTCCCTTCCGGGTGGTGTGAGCAGAGTGCCATTGCATGTGAGACGCGCGAGCGCATGCACGTTGCCACCCAAGCTCACATCCACCTCAACCGCAGTATCCCATTCCTCCTGAGCGCCAGCCTGTCTCAGGGGATGCGTGGCACCTGAGTCTACCAACGCCAGTGCCTGAGCATGAACATGAAGTGAGCGCATTTGAGGAATGGGGTTTGGAGTCTGAGGCGATTCCTGACGTCTGCTAGCATCACAGCAGGCCTTCACCAACTCCCCAAAAAGCTTGGGCAACACCTGGCCAGCATCCTGACGATGGCCCTTCTGGACCTCTTCCCAGACCCCCATTCTCGGCTCGAAAACTGGGGTCTGGGGAGCGGCTTCGCTCCTGCGCGTGTCTCCTCCTGGACCTGTGGCCTGCGTGGAGTTGGTTGCATCCTGCGCTGCCAGCTCCTCCTGAACCTGAGGCTGGAGTTGGGGGCTTGCTTCGTTCACCCTTCCTGCCCGACAGTCGTTGCGGTGATGTTCTTTGGAACCGCATTTCCAACACCTGTTGGCCTTGTCCTGAGCGGAAAACGCACTCAGATCATGAGCATACTCACAGTGCGAACCCTTGCGGCAACCACGCGACAACACGAAGAATTTGCACAATTTCCTGGTAGGCAAACGTGGCTTTTCGTTTTGGGTGACGCTATGACTTTTATTGGCCTGCTCACCTGAGTTGGAAATCTCAGCTACCTTGCCACCTGAAACCTCTGGCTGCGCCAGTGCCAAAGTTTCAAACTCTGCCAGCAAATGACGATGATAAGTGAGGACCTCCTCTCCCGAGGGATGTTGGTCGATGCGCAACACGGCACGCGCGCATTGCATACGAAACGCTGCATCAGAATGCCCCTCCAACACTCCACGGGTCATTTCCGTAAGAGCTCTGGCTAAAACCATGGGATCCGGGACCATCATGCCGCACTCGACGCATCTCCGATGCCACCTACCCCAATCCCTCAAGGCCATGACGCCTGAGTGTACGTCTTGAATCAAGCAAGGACTTTGAAGGCTTCTTAGCACCAGCCACCTCTCGACGCCACCTCCAGGCTGATACATGGTGAAAAGGCGAAACAGCAGGCAGGCAGCCACTCCCGTGGCGCGGTGGGCAAGAATGTGGGCTTTTACTGAGGGGTCTAAAGCCTCAAGTATCATGCCACACGCACGCGAGTTGACCCTGACCCACCTTCCTGAAGCCGAACCCTGTTCCTGAGGCTCAATGCTGAGTCTGTCCAGCGGACTTGCAACACACCACCTGGTATACGCCTCCCTGCTTACCTGCAACACACGTGCCCACCAAACATAGGAGGAATTGGAAAGGTCACGCATTGGGTTGTGTATGAGCTCCAACCAATCCTGGAAAATGAGTGACCCGTTTGCCGGCTCTGGAGGCCCCAGCGAGGGAAGAATTGGGGAACCAGGTTTCACAACCTCGTTGTCGCCCTTTTCCATGGTGAGCTGGGCCTGGAGGCCCTGCAGCTGCAACACTCCTACAGTGAGTGCTTCTAGCAACGGCTGCTGCACTGAAAGCCCTGATGGAGCAACCTGAGAACCTGCGTGGCCTGCGACCGCTCCTCCTGGAATGAGCTGCGCATGTGAACCTAATGCATGCGCGACGATTGTGGGCGCAGGCGGCGCGTGCTGTGAACATGGCTGCTGCACCCCCACCACCTTCACTGACTGCGGAGTCCAAACCCCCTCAGCACCGGAAGACGTAGTCTGAACATTCACACCAGACAACAAGTCTGACTCAGCCGAACCCCTTAAGCAAGGATTAGGGGTTTGGGCCTGCGGCGGAAGTGGCATTGAGCCTGTAAAAGATGGAACCTGCGGTCCCTGCAAAGCGTTGGTTGCACCAACCGGCACGCTTGGCGCAGATCGAGTGGCACCTGGGAGTCCTGCCAGCTCGGCGGCTGGATTGGGACCTTGGACCTGGGCACCTTGCGCCTGGATTGGGACCTTGAACCTGGGCACCTTGCACCTGTGCACCTAGGAGTCCTGCCAGCATGGCTGCTGGATTGGGACCTTGGACCTGGGCACCTTGCATGGCACCAGGCCTTCCGGCCGGCGTTGCACTGCACACATTTGCACACACGGCTGGTGAGTCGGCACGAGTCGATGCCACAACAGTGGGATGCTCTGGAAGGCCATCCCTCCCGGGAAGCGATGCAATCGGCACTTCGGCTTGCACCCCTCCTAAACTATCTTGAAGCGGGCAACCCTCACTAGGACTAACCCCCGTACCAACCAAAGGCCACACTCCTCTGGAGAACCCTTGGTCACTGCACGCATGGTTCGCTTCCACGCCAAACCTTGGCGAAAGCAGATTTGTACTGACACTCGGTGCCTCATCATCATGCCTTGCCGTCAACACTCTTGCAAAACTCCTCCATGTCTCTGACAGTCTGGGCCATCCACTCCCAAACTCTGGAAAAAACGACTCTGCATCCGGCGTGCCTAGGTCTCGGAGTCCTAGGCTTCCGCCCGGAGTTTTCTGTTCAGCAACAGGTGGATCCTGTTCCCCACCTTGCTTGTTCGGCGAATGGGCGTTGTGCTCTGCATCCCCACGCGCCCTTCCCGTAGCCAGTGAATGTCGGATTGCGTCCCCACCGTCCAAAACTGACCCAAATGATCCAGCTTCAGAAGGGGCGCCAATCCCAAACGTAGTTTGTGGCCCATCAGTCTCAGCGCCTCCCGCTGAGACTGATGAAGTCACTCCGGTGGTGCTGTTGCCCTGCCCAAGCGTTGGGCTCATAACCTGCTGGTGTGAACCAGCAGGCTGAGCAGAGGCTAGCAGTGGAATAGACGTCAT